TCAAGGAAGAAATAAAAAAAGAAATTAAAGACTTCCTAGAATTTAATGAGAATGAAGACACAACATATTCAAACCTATGGGACACATTGAAAGCAGTGCTAAGAGGAAAAAGTTTATAGCACTAAATGCCCACATGAAGAAACTGGAGAATAGCCACACTAGAGAATTAACAGCGCAATTGAAAGCTCTAGAGCAAAAGGAAGCAAACGCTCCTCGGAGGATTAGATGCCAGGAAATAATCAAAACTGAGGGCTGAAATCAATAAAGTAGAAACTAGGAAAACACTACAAAGACACAATGAAACAGAGAGTTGGTTCTCCGAGAAAAGTCAACAAGATAGACAAACCTTTATCCAAACTAACCAAAAGGCAGAGAGAGAGAGCATGCTAATTAACAAAATCAGAAATGAAAAGGGGGACATAACAACGGACACTGAAGAAATTCAGAGAATCATCAGGTCATGCTTTGAAAACCTGTACTCCACAAAATTCGAAAATCTAAAGGAAATGGACAATTTTCTGGACAGATATCACTTAACAAAATTAAATCAAGAACAGACAAGCAATTTAAACAGATCTATAACCCCTAATGAAATAGAAGCAGTCATCAAAAATCTCCCAACCGAAAAAAGCCCAGAGCCAGATGGCTTCACTGCAGAATTCTACCAGAAATTCAAACAAGAGCTAATACCAGTACTCCTCAAATTGTTCCACACAATAGCAGTGGAAGGGACACTGCCAAGCTCCATCTATGAGGCTACCTTTGTACCCAAGCCACACAAAGACACAACTAAAAAAGAGATTTACAGATCAATATTCCTCATGAACATCAACGCAAAAATATTCAACTAAATACTGGCAAATCGAATCCAAAAACACATCAGAGAAATCATCCACCATGATCAAGTTGGCTTTATCCCAGAAATGCAGGGATGGTTCAACATATGAAAATCCATCAATGTAATCCACTATATAAACAAACTGAAAAAGAAAAAACCACATGATCATCTCGTTAAATGCTGAAAAAGCCTTTGACAAAATCCAGCATCCCTTCATGATAAAGGTCTTGGAGAGATGAGGAATAACAGGAACATACCTCAACATGATAAAACCAATATATAGCAAACCAACAGCCAACAACATCTAAATGGAGAGAAACTCAAGGCAATTCCTCTAAAATCAGGAACAAGACAAGGCTGTCCACTCTCTCCATATCTCTTCAATATTGTACTTGAAGTCCTAGCTAGAGCAATAAGACAACAAAAGGAGATCAAGGGGATACAAATTGGAAAGGATGAAGTCAAACTTTCACTCTTTGCAGATGATATGATAGTTTACATAAGTGACTGGAAAAACTCTACCAGGGAACTCCTACAGCTGATAAACATTTTCAGCAAAGTGGCAGGATACAAGAATAACTAAGAAAAATCACTACTATATACAGAACATAAATGTGCTGATAAAGAAATCAGAGAAATATCACCCTTTACAATAGCAACTAACAACATAAAATATATTGGGTAAAGATAACTAAAAAAGTGAAATACCTGTACAGTAAGAACTTTGAGTCTTTAAAGAAATAAATTAAAGAAGATATCAGAAAATGGAAAGATCTCCCATGCTATTGTATAGGTAGGGTCAACATAGTAAAAATGGCAAACTTGCCAAAAGCAGCCTACAGATTCAATAGTAAAGAAATTAAAGAATATACCAGAAAATGGAAAGATCTCCCATGTTCTTGGATAGGTGTCTTGCCAAAAGCAATCTACAGATTCAATGTAATTCCCATCAAAATACCAACACAATTCTTCACAGACCTTGAAAGAACAGTACTCAACTTTATATGGAAAAACCAAAAACCCTGGGTAGCCAAAACAACTCTGTACAATAAAGAAACTTCTGGATCATCCCTGACTTCAAGCTCTATTATAGAGCCATAGTCCTGAAAACAGCTTGGTATTGGCACAAAAATAGACAGGTTGACCAATGGAATTGAATTGAAAACCCTAATATTAACCCACACACCTATGAACACCTGATTTTTAACAAAGAATTTTAGGGATTCTCTAGTTTCTACAAACTGCCAAAATTCTACTATAAAAATTTTCAAAGGCCTAAGAACACTTGATAATGTTTTGGCAAAACAATGACACTGCTTTTAGTATCTTTTTTTTTTTTTTGGGTCTGGAATAGTTTGCATTCATTCAGAGAATTTCAGCCCATCATGGCTGGAAAGGCATGGCAGTATGACAATGTAGGGAGATCTGTTAGTATCACAGAAGACCAGGAAGCAAGGAGTAAGGCTGGACCAATGACCTTCCATCACCAACTAAGCATCCCACAGCCTCTCAAAATAGTACCACACATAGCCAAAACATGAGCCTGTAAAGGATATCTCTGTTTCATATTAAAAATGTATAACATAGCATTTTCTGATTCTTGTTTGTCTTGGCCCTCAGTAATGTTATTCCTCCGAGGTCAGATAATTATTTTGCCTCTTAAATATTCTCTAGACTGAGAATGCCCCAAATAACAGTGTATACTCTATATGTAATTTTTAGGTAGATGACTGGTGTATGTAAAATGCTAACTACAGTGCATGGTACCTAGGCAATGTTGAGTAAATCACAACTTTTCAAAATAACTTTTAAATACTTTAAAAGCTATCCCTGGCTTGGGCACCCCAGCCTAAAACTGCAAAGCACACACTTGCCTCTTAGAAAACTCACTCCCTAGCTGTATGAGGTATGCGAATCTGAACTTTCCACTTCATCTGTGGAGAACAACCCGTCTCACAGGGACCAAATGATTCGTATGGCCAGTGGGATGTAGAACTTGAGGTGAATAAATTCTTGGCCTCTCAATTCTGAGTGCAGTGTTCTGTATTTCTGTAAAAATTAGAAAGAAGAGGAAATGGCTTCTTACAGCAAGTTCTTAGTTTTCTCAAAGCCAGCTTACGTGTTAATCAAATAACCAAAGTGCTGATGTGCCCAGGTGTCAAGATAGGGTCAATAGTTGAACTCATGTCTCATTTGTCTACATTACAATGGATGAGAGCAGATCTGTAAATGCAGCGGCATTGAATTGAATGACAAGGATCAATTACAACACTTCCACACAGTGGATTAAAAAGAATCATGGGTTCTCCAAGGAGATTGTAAAGTCTTTTCTGTTATGTGGATAAAACAAAACAGTTTAGAGTAATGCAAAGCTCTTCTTTTAAATTTTTTCTTTTATTAAATGATTTTTTAAATACACTATATGCTGATTATGGCTTCCCCTCTGTCTACTCCTCTCTTCTTAAAGCTCTTCTTTTACATTTTTTCTTTTATTAAATGAATTTTTAAATACACTATATGCTGATTATGGCTTCCCCTCTGTCTACTCCTCCCAGGACCTCCACATGTCATCTCCCACCCAGACCAACCTCTTTCTGTCTCTCATTGGAAAACAAACAGGCACCTAAAGGAATAATGGTAAGATAAAATTAAATGAAATAATATAAAATAAAACAAACACATAGGAATAGGACAAAACAAACAGGAAAATAACCCAAGAAAAGGCACAAGAAAGATACAGACGCAGAGACCACTGGGTTGCTCACGAATCCCATTCAGGCATAAAACCAGAAGCTATAACATAAGTGCAAAGGACTTATAGTATAAAAGTAAGTAGAAAAAAGATAAAATTAAAGAAGAATCAGGAGCCCTATATGAGCAAAGAACCTCAAGAGACGATAAAACTCCCTGCCCTCAGGCTTTATTTAACTGGGAGAGTTTTAATTACTGCTTCTCTTCACTATGAGTTAAAGGGCTATTTAAATTGCTTATCTAATCTTGATTTAACCTTGGTAGGTTGTATGTATAGAGAATATTATCCATTTCTTCTAGGTTTTCCAATTTACTGGAGTACAGGGTTTTAAAGTATGTCTTTATGATTCTCTGGATAATCGCAGTGTTTGTAATTATTTCTCCCTTTTCATTTCTAATTTTGTTAATTTGAATCCTTTCTCTTCACTCTTTAGTTAATTTAGACAGGGGTTTGTCAATCTTACTGATTTTCTCAAAGAACCAACTCGTTTCATTCTTTGTATTTTTTTGTTTCTATTTTATTGGTTTTAGTCCCAAGTTTTTAAAATTTCTTGTCTCCTCCTTTTGGGCATGATTTCTTCTTTTTGTTCTAGAGCTTTTGGGTGTGCTGCTAAGTTACTAGTATGAGATATCCCCATTTTTGTTAAATGTAGGAACTTAGTAGGAACTCATGAGTTTGCCTCTTAGAACTGCCCCCGGTGTGTCCCATAAATTTGAGTATGTTGTATTTTCATTTTCATTGAATTCTAGAAAGTCTTTAATTTCTTTCTTGACACATGTTTCACTCAGTAGAGTTGTTCAGTTTCCATGCTTTCAGCTTTACCCCATGGTGGTCTTATAGGATGCAGGGTGTTATTTTAGTTTTCTTGTATCTGTTGAGAGTTGTTTTGTGTCTGAGTATATGGACACTTTCGGAGAAAGCTCCATGAGGTGCAAGAATACCATTAAAACATAAAAGCAGAAGCTATAATGTAAGTGCAAAGGTCCCATAGTGTAAAAATAAAGAGAAAAAGATAAAATTAAAGAAGAATAAGGGTTAAATATTTGGGTTAAATGTTCTATAAATATTTGTTAGGTCCATTTGGTTTATAGCATCTGTTAGTTCTGACATTTCTCTCTTTAGTTTTTGTCTGCATGAGATACCTATTGGTGAGAGTGGGGTATTGAAGTCACCCATTATCACTATGTAAGGAACAATACGTGATTTAAACTGTAGTAGTGTTTCTTTTATGGACTTGGGTGTCCTTGTGTTTGGTTCATAGATTTAAAAAATTGCAATGTCCACTTGGTGTATTTTTCCTTTGATGAATACATAGTGTCCTTCCCTGCCTCTTCTGATTACTTTTGTTTTGAGTGCTATTTTGTCAGATATTAAAATGGCTACACCAGCTTGCTTCTTGGGTTCATCTGCTTGGAGTCTGTTTTTCCATTCTTTTACCCTGAGGTGATCTCTATCATTGATGCTAAGATGTGTTTTTGGATGCAGCAGAAGGGTGAATCCTGTTTTTGAATCCATTGTTAGTCTGTGTCTTTTATTGGGGAACTCAGACCATTGGTGTTAAGAGATAACAGTGAGCAGTGTTGGTTGATTCATGTTATTTGTTGTGTTGGTGTGTTTCCCCCCTTCTTTGGATTTTCTGGTCTGGTAGTATTTATTTCTTGTGTTTTCTTGGACATGGTTACTTTCTTCAGGTTGACGTTTTCCTTCTAGCACCTTTTGTAGGGCTGGATTTGTAGATAGATACTGCTTAAATTTGTTTTTATCACGGAATGTCTTATTATCTCCATTTATTGTAATGGGAAGTTTTTCTGAGTATAGTATTCTTTGTTGTCATCTGTCATCTGCAGGATACATGCCCTGACCCTTTTGGCTTTTAGGGTCTTCACTGAGACAGGTGTAAGTCTAATAGATCTGCCTTCGTACTTCCTTGATTCCCTCCTCCCCTTAAGCAGTTTTAAATATTGTGATCTCTATCATTGATACTAAGATGTGTTTTTGGATGCAGCAGAAGGATGAATCCTGTTTTTGAATCCATTGTTAGTCTGTGTCTTTTATTGGGGAACGATCTCTATCATTGATGCTAAGATGTGTTTTTGGATGCAGCAGAAGGGTGAATCCTGTTTTTGAATCCATTGTTAGTCTGTGTCTTTTATTGGGGAACTCAGACCATTGGTGTTAAGAGATAACAGTGAGCAGTGTTGGTTGATTCATGTTATTTGTTGTGTTGGTGTGTTTCCCCCCTTCTTTGGATTTTCTGGTCTGGTAGTATTTATTTCTTGTGTTTTCTTGGACATGGTTACTTTCTTCAGGTTGACGTTTTCCTTCTAGCACCTTTTGTAGGGCTGGATTTGTAGATAGATACTGCTTAAATTTGTTTTTATCACGGAATGTCTTATTATCTCCATTTATTGTGATGGGAAGTTTTTCTGAGTATAGTATTCTTTGTTGTCATCTGTCATCTGCAGGATACATGCCCTGACCCTTTTGGCTTTTAGGGTCTTCACTGAGACAGGTGTAAGTCTAATAGATCTGCCTTCGTACTTCCTTGATTCCCTCCTCCCCTTAAGCAGTTTTAAATATTCTTTCTTCTACATGTTTAGTGTTTGGATTATTAGGTGTTGAGGGGATTTTCTTTTCTTGTGTAGACTGTTTGGTGTTCTGTTTGCTTCTTGTGCCTTGAAAGATGTGCTGGCTAGTTTTTATGTCACTGGAAAGGAGAGAACCTCGATTGAGAAAATGCATCCATAAGGTCTGGTTGTATGGCATTTTCTTAATTAGTGATTGAGCAGGGAGGGCCTACCTGATAGTGTGTGGGACCATCCTTAGGCCCTCATGAATGGAATTGGTGTCTAGGCTGGCTTGAATGAAAAATGTTTCACATAAGCTCATGTAGTTGGATGCTTGGTCCCTAGTTGATGGTGCTGTCTTAGAAGGTTTTGGGATCTTTAGGAGGTGGAGATGCTGGAGGAGGTATATCCCTGGGGCCAGGCTTTGAGGGTTTATAGCCTGGCTTCACTTCTTGTCTCTGCTTCCTGTATGTGGATGAAGAAAAATGTGATTAGGCAGATTCCTGTCCTTCATGATGTTTTCCCTGCCTGTTGTTATGCACTCTGCTCCATGATGGACTGTATCCCCTCTGGAACTGTGTGAGAAAATATAACTTTTTCTCAGTTGCTTTTTGCAAGAGAATTCTGTCATAGCAACAGACAGGTAATATAGCATCCTCATGAAAGAAACCTCAGAGAGCTTGCTAGCCTCTTTCCATGAAAGAGAAAATGACTCTCATCAGGTAGTGTCAATGCCTTGGTATTGGGCTTCTCCACCCCCAAACTGAGAAATGTCTTTGTTATATGTAAGCTAACCAGTCTGTGATGTTTGTTATAACAGATAAAAATACTCTATTGTTACTTTCCAGATATCTGAATTCTAGTTTAGATTCTCTAAACTGTCTCATTTAGACAGAATTTACTGAGGTAGGCAAAGGGCTCAGAAAACTTGTATTTTAATCTTAGGTATGCTGTTTGTAAAACGTGTTTAAACAC